AAAAGGGCTTAGTTCTGAATTACACAGCACAAGGGACAGCTGCTGCTTCAGGAACAGAGCTGCTTAGATAACACCCCTCACCTGGAGGATGCGTAACACCCATAAACCTTGCAGTAGTAATAACCAAAGAACACAACAATAATGAACTCCTGAGCAGGAAATTCTTTCAGCAGTGTTGAAGATGCTCCTCCTACATACAACACCTGAAATAACTTTGGTAACAACCCTAGTTCTCTTTTTTTCCCCTCCCATCTGTAATCATTTCCTCACTCTGTCCTTTCCTAAGCTTTCTCTTTCAGAGCTTCTTGACAACAAAACCTCGTTGGGGAGCAACAGTAGTTCTGATTCATGGCAGAGCTATGCTTTTGCCTGCTGTAGTTCCACTATTTTGGAAGATATGTCAGGCTATAAAGTCCACCAGACCATGAAAGAGAAGATAAGCTAGTACCATTTAAATTTATACAGCCTTAATTTAGAGGTTTCATTGAAATATTTAACTATGTTTAAATACCTACATTTTTGTCAACCATAGCTTGACTCTCATGTGACAATATGCATTGTAAACCATAAACTCCAAAGAGGACAATATATTTTGCCTGGTTAATTTACGAGGAAGAGAATTGTTTACTTCTATATTTATTTCCCAGTTTAATGACTGCCGTAGCTTCACTGATCAGTTTGGAAGCAAGAGTCGGGGAGTGCATTGTTCTCACATGTGCTCTTTCAGTGTGAAATTCAAACGCACGTTTCGCAGTGACCACATTTTAGAAGTACTCATAGTCCATGCTCCCTGGATCTTGCCTGTTTAAAAAGCCAACTATGAGGAGAGAACACCAAACACAGAGAGAAAAATCTCATTTACCCAGGGCTGCACTGCAAGCCAGTGGCAGAGAAAAAGAACCACCTTTTCTACTACTTTATTCCTTATGCCGGACAGCATTCCTGGGTTTTTGTTTTCTTTCAGTTCTGTCACATAAACAAGAAACAGTCAGTGGGCAGGTCTGCAGCTGGTGCATGATGTGTGAAAACAGTCAGATTACATTTTGCAAACCATAATCATCCTACCAAGGTGTCCAGCAGGGCCCTCATCTACCTCCTGCAAAGAACTCGGCTTCTGCAAACCCTGGAGGAGCCTCCTGAACCTTCTGCACTTCAACTACTCCGTTGCTTTCTAAAACTGTCAATGGCAGGCAATAAATACCACACAGAGCATGAATAAAATTGCAGTATTAAATTAGATACAAGCCCTACACTCACAGAAGTTCCTTGAAAACCTTATTTTGTCCTATAAGCTAACTAGCCTTACCTATACAGAGCCGAAAATGAGAAATTATAGCAATCAGCATTGCTATCCCTAAGCGAATTTGGTTCTAGCCCAAAGAGCCCCACCCAAATCCCACTGCAGGTAACACAAATAAATACTTGGCAAATGCTAGTGCCTTCGCGCCGTCCGCAATTCCTCCAGCTGCCTTCAGCCACCGTACCCTCAGGGCACAAGCTCTGAGGGTGAAGCATCTTTTACGGTTGTGTTGCTACTAGCTAGATACTTTTAACTGAGCTTAACTCCACCTGGTAACTCTCAGAAGTAAGTGATGTTCCATATGCACAGGGATTGCCAAGGAGTCTGTGCTTTTGAGGTGCAGGTTACAGGTCCCTAGCTGAAGTCACAATGAGCTTAATTAAAATATGTTCTTCGTTAAACAATGACTGACCCTCTAAAAGCTGCTGGATTCAAACCCACGTAGTTGCTGCAGGTGCTTCTCTGTGAGACAGACCACTCAGGTGAGAAAGGGATGCAGCAAGCATCTACTTTATAACACAGATAAGCAAAAAAACAAACCGAACCAAACACAACAACCTGCAAGTCTACTGTGACCAGGGGAATAACTGTGTTCTGATGTTACCTTTGAAGAATACAGAACACAGCCATGCCTGCTCTTTGGTGGAGCACGGCAAGGACTTTGGTACAAGCTTGAAAACAATCAGAAGGCTTGAGAACATTTTCAACTCCCTCATCATAAGTAAGTGTTAAAAAAAAAAACCCCACCAAACTAGTCTTGCAAAACAAGTTAGTTCTGTGCAAGCAAATCTGTTAAAATATTGATTTAAGCCCTAGGTAAAGACTCTTAGAATGCAGATAAACTGAACAATAAAATTCACAGTTCAAGGAAAAGAATCAGTGACAAGAAGTAATAAAGTAAAAATAATGCTCAGCTCAACTTGCTTTAAAAAAAGCAAATTTCAGAAATTAAGATGGCAACTGTAAGGTAAAGAATATGCCTGATTTTCAGCTATGAATGGTTGTGCCCAGGCAATGTTTACCATGTAATGCTTGCCCTGGACATACAACACAGAAATCTTATATTTTTTTTACCTAGAAAATATAGTCATACTGAGATGTCCACATATCTTTGTGAGCACTTCCCCTTTGCTTTCTTATCTTAAACACGTGAGGTAACTTGGCTTAAAACTCTTAATATCTCTTTCCTGGAAGGCTAGGTCTTGGTAGAAATATTGTACAAAACAGTGGGCAATAAGAATTTAAGACAATATTTGCTACAGACCCAGGCACAAACATACCATTGCTTTAACCATATCCTAATTAGCTCAGTCAGTTCGAGCATGGTTCTGATAACACCAAGGTCATGGGTTCGATCCCCATGTGTTGCCTGATCCAGTTGAGAGGCATCCCTGCTTCTCAACAGGGAGGCTGGATTAATTAACCTCTGAGGTCCCTTCCAGCCTAGGCCATTCTATGATTCCAATCTCATAACTGAGGTGAGGTACTAGCAGGAAAACAACTTACTGCTGGCTGAGGAGGGAAGGTGCTTATAGATACGTAATTTCCTACTTGAAATTCCCAATATGAGCTTCAACACTGAGACTCCAGTGGTTGCCTCTTAACTGCAATTCACACAGGGACCTTCATGTCCCGTGCCCAGGAGGGCCTAGCCTGCTATTCCCTAACTCTTGTTAATACACAAATACGTTAATACAGAATCCGTGCCTTACGGACAACTGGGTCCCAAGCAGAAAATGTTCCAGACAGGACACAGCAGCAGACAGGAGTGCCCAGGCTCAGGGTCCCAATCACAGTCCAAAAAAACCCAAAAGAAGCCGTGCAGGGGAAGGACTACCTGTCCTGATGAAGAGCACTCCTTCGCAGCATGAAAACAGGAGATGGGAACACCAGCAGCACAGGGGGAGATGAGGAACAGCTGATGCCAGTTCCATAACACAGCAGCACTGAAGCCCCCGGGCCTCTCTTCAGGGGCCCTTATATACCAGCACCATGGGAAGGATCACTGTGATTGGTCCATTGGGGTCACCTGACCCCGAAGGAACACTGTGATTTGTCCATTGTGGTTGCCTGACCCATCCTCTCCTCCCCATAGGCACAGTTGACCTTCCCCACTGTGGTTAGAACCCCCTGGGCCAGGAGCCCCACAGAACTTCCATCCCGGGGCTCTCAGACCAGGACACCTGGGCTACGGCCAATTTGCCTGGGCTGCCGTACTTCACCGGGTGGGATTATGTCATCCACAGATACGCCTGGAGTTTTAACAAACTCAGCCACTCAAAAAACCACAGGGTAGTATTACAAATGACAATATTCAGGCCAAGAAGATGATAGAGCATCATGCCAATATCAGTGCTCCTGACGTGAAGAAAGATTAGATCCAGTTACCAAAGTTAGAGAGGAGTCAGTGGCAACCAGAAGAAAGGAGATCCTAACTCAACATGGAGCAGCAAAGCTGGCAAAAGTGAAGGTGACAGCAGCCAGAGTAAAATACTGGCATAGAAACAGAGTCCTAGAATCTAGGCATTTAGGTTGGGCACCTGAAATAGGTTTCCAACTGGCAGGGTAGTACCACTCTAGAAATAGTGACAGGGAGAAGAAAAAATGGCTTAGGATGGAGCTTGAGGAATTTAATGGCGAGATGTGCCAAGCATGCCTGCAACAGCGGCGGGGGCAACGCTGGTAACAGAAACACCCTGTGTCCACTTTCCTCACACCCAAGTCTCTTTCCTTACGTTATTTACTTGGCTTCCATGGAGTTACAGTAATTTACACAAGCTTAGGATACAGAACAAAAAGTCTTGTTATGAAGGAAATGTGATATTTTTAACTTACATTGACAACTTATACCAAATTCCTGTGAACAGAATTACACTTCTGTTAACTTGAGTTTACAACAAGCGTAAACGACGTTCTTTGTGCTGAAGTCGTTACCTTGACATCCATTGGATAAACTAGTTACAACCAGCAGCCAAACACCTAAACTCCTATTTTGTATCCAACTGTGCCTTAATGTAACACTGACTTTAATTAATTTGACAGTTAAATCACTTGCTAATATTTTTACACTACAGCTACCACTGTACTCTGCCTTTGCTCATTACATTTAACATCTTTTATAAAACATTCACTACTTCACATTCACGCACAAACAGCAACTTTACCTCTTCATTATTCAGCACACATAGGGCCTTACCTTACAGTAGAATTTTTAAAAAAGTTTGCTTCAGAATAGATTAAGTAATAAAGAGGAAGCTACAGTGATATAAACTTCAGGAAGATCATTCTTACCATTAACTGCTTCAGGGACATTTGTTTTCTAAATATATTTTTAAAAACCAGCCTAATGGAGATCAAATAAATTGGTTACAGGTTTAGACGTAAAATTATGTTCTTGTCTTTATATGCAGTTGTGCACACAGGCATTTTACATCACCTCTGCAAAGACATCACAGACTTGAGCTGCAACGCCCAGTAGTAAAACACAGAATCATAGAATAGAATCACAGAATGGCCTGGGCTGGAAGGGACCTTAGAGATCATTTAATCCAGCCTTCCTGTCACGGGCAGGAACGCCTCTCAACTAGATCAGGCAACACAGGGGGACTGAGCAGGGATCGAACCCGTGACCTTCTCATTATCAGCACCACGCTCCAACCAACTGAGCTAACCGGCCCTCCTTAAAAGTTGACTTTTGAGTCGCCCAACGCGGGGCTCGAACCCCGCGACCTTGAGATTAAAAGTCTCACGTTCTACCAACTGAACAAGACTGGCCTCGTATCAAAGCAGTGTCGTAAGTTTATGACAGATTTCAGGGAGGAAAAAAAAAAAAAATTTGTTTTGTAGATATATGTGTTTATATGCATACTTTTGTATATACAAATACACATTTTTGAGAAATGGAGGATCTTGGAGTTTCTCTCAGATCACATTTTTAATATTGCAGAAAGGAAGAAGGCAATATCCCAGCTAAGAAGTTTCTGACTGATAAAGTACTGAAAGACTGAATACGCATCCTCTTTCTGCTTAATTGCTTCGAAGAAACATTTGTAGTGAAATATTTTCATATTTATCCTGCCTACTTGCCCAGGATGCTTTAAAGGGGTAAATTACATCTTTCTCACTACAGGAACTTCTCCCCAACTGCCTGAAGCGTGCTCTGCGGCTGCAGCTACACCGGGATTTGCAGGGAGGGCAACACAGAACAATCATAGAATCATAGAACAATTCAGGTTGGAAAAGCTCCTTGGGATCATCGAGTCCAACCATTGACCCTACACTACAAGTTCACCCCTAAACCACATCACCCAACACCACATCTAAATGACACTTGAACATCCCTGCATACGTCCAGCTCTGTACTGGAGGGCACGTAAAAAATCTCTGGTCACTTTGGAAAGCTTTGATTTCCCCTCCCTGCAACCCCACACCATGGCTGACCTTGGTTCAAAGGCTGTTTTTACAGATCTTCTGTTCCTGTACTATGCCTAGAGTACACAGGATAGGTTTTCAATGGGATTTGAGCTGCTAATTCTCTTAGACTCCCTGGAAAATTCCAGTCCAGTGTCTTCACATTTACAAAATTGATTTCATGCCATGACTGTTTTAGAGCCTGGGGTGCTGTGTTTTTTCCTCTTCTTTTTTTTTTCTTCAGAAAAAAAAAGATAGATGCTAAACTAGCAGAATATTTTCATGCATTTTGCCTTGCTACAGTTTGCAGAAGTGTTTGGAGCAGACCCTATAGTGCTGTATCCAAGAGTAACAGAGCCAGGAACTGAGGGGAATTTTATGGTCTACAATTAACACTTCCTAAATGCTATCAATTTGGGAGATGAAACTAGTGCTACTGAGCTCATCTCATGGTACAAAAATGAGATTATTGCTAAGCGAGTATGGCACCTTTGTTTTGAAAAACACATTTACTCTCCTGGGTGTTTGTTAAGACTTATGGACCATAAAAATAGATGGTAATTTGAAGCGGTTTATCGAAAGAGTCTTTTAGACTATCTCATAAAAATGCACACAGATGTACCCAACTCAGACCACACTCTGCTAATTATCAGCTTTTTTCCACAATTTACAGATGGTGGAAACTATCCTCGTATTTTTTACATCTTGCCCAGGATGTTAATAGGAAGTAAATAACATCTTTTCTCTTATGACATTATCGCTCTCCTTGCAGCACAAGCTTTAATCAACTTTTATTAATTAAGCAAGGGACCAAATTTTCTGCCTGGTAACACTGCTTCGAAGTCTGTGATCAAAAAGCCATGGCGGCTTAAAAGATCAGAGAAAAAGCTAATAATTAACACTTCTGCATACAAATACAATTCAGGATTTCCATAGGAAGCCTCTCATGGTCAGAACCACGAAATGTAATTTGCTATTGCTGAGATTTCTGCATTTGTTTTATTTTTTTTTCCAAGGCTGTTTTTTAAATCTTAGCATGCCTGGCCATCAGGGAGATACCTTAGTGGAGACAAACTAAAAAGGTTTTGGAATTGAATGCTACACGTTGGATGCATGCTGAAGATGGCAGCTGGTGTCCAGATGAATTTCAATAACCTTACGAGACGAGCCTTCCTAGATACTAACAGCACTCACAGCTTGAGTTTTTCCTTATGGCTATTTAATTGATCAGTCTTGCATGGGATGATACCCTTGATACTGATCCTCAAATTTACTACTTCGAGCAGCTTTAAAAGGAAGATGCATTCACTGACACATTTAAGCAAAATCAAATAGTTCTTAAATAATTGGTCTAGAAATGATAAATTATTTATGAATGTATAATAAATCAACATCCTGATTACTAAAATGTCTGGTCAGGGTATTTTCTGTACAAAAATATTAGTGGGCCCAATGAGCTAACTGACAGCTAACCAGATTTTGAGTTTGCATGTGTCAATCTCCATTCTCTGCTCGAAATGTAGTAAAAGCTATTAAAGTTGTTAAATTTCCTTTTTGGTTATTTAGGGATTAGATCCCTCATACCACAGGTTATTGTTATACATGTAGTACAAAATATCTCCACTTTTAGCTTGCTCTATTATAACAATTACTAAGTTGGATATGCCAGTCTTACTAACTTATGCCAGCTACGTATTTGTATGGTAACACCCAATTCTTAATGGCTCTCCAGTATTTTGTCACATGGGATTTAGCCTCATAGTTTATTCGTGCCATAGGCAATGCAAACTATGTCCAATCCCCCAGTCAGTTTAGCCAGAAGTGGTTCTGCAGCTTTCTATCTTCTTTTTAAACTCACTCTCACTGGCAATTCGGTGTTCTTCACTATAGTTGTCTCAGGAAAATATCCTCCCTGGAACACAGACTGAAATTTATATTATTTTCTATCTTTCCATTAAAAACTGATGGTAGATCTAGAGTAATGTGGTATCCTGCCAGGATGTATGCACCACAGCTGTAATTTGTAGTCAAAAATATCCAGTAATGTTACATTTTTCAGTAGAAAAATTCCAAAGCTAGAAGACATACTCTGTTATACTAATTGATTAGCTCTTTCTCTTGCTAGGAAAAAAAAAGAAAAAAGCCATGTTCCCTTAGTCTGCAGAGTCTCCTTGTAAATGATATTCCAAACCAAATAATTCTTTTTGGATTCAGGGCACAGGAGGAAAAAGGAAATCCTCACAGCTCTCTCTAGTCTGCTCTGTCCCCATCTTGAGCCCCAGTCTTAGATCCACAGGGATGCACACAGTTGGCGGTGACAAATCCTGATCCATGGACACGAATGTTAAAATTCACCTTCTCACAGGATCACCTCTGTAATCTGAGGTTCTGCAAGGCAATAAGTAATTTTTCTAGGATACTGTTCTTTCAAAGTACTTCTCCATCTTTCTTGCTTGCCTTCTCACGCTCAGGGAAGCATCCTGCCACCTCAACTCAACTCCATGCCTGTTCTATTTTAACCTCCCTTCTGCTGTATATTTCACTAACTTGCCATTATCTGCAAGAGGCGTTTTGACAAGGAAAGGCTTCAATGGACAAAAAGAACCCGTACTGCACAAAGCTACCTAATCCTGCCTCTTCTCATGCAGTCATGGAATCACAGAACTGTTTCCGTTGGAGAAGACCTTTAGGATCATCAAGATCAACCATTATCTAACTTTACCAAGCCCACTTCTAAACCATGTCCCCGAGCACCAGTCTAAACAGCTTTTAAATACATCCAAGGATTGCAGTTTGACCGCTTCCCTGGGTAGGCTATTCCACTCTTTGGTAGTCCTTTCAGGGTAGAATTTTTTCCTAATGTCTAACGTCGTAACATCATCGTTGCCACGAACAGCCCGGCTCCCTCCTTTCAGGTCTTCTGTATCACACCACCACTTACTTTGTGGCCAACTCTAAATTTAGCTGTCTGAAACTGCCATGTTTGAAAATTAGGCTCTAGAGAGAAAACATTTCACTTCAAGGTAATGCTTTTAATTTCCTTTTGGTGCATGAAAATCATCAGGAAGGGGACATTTTAAAATATCATTAATGAAATCGCAGAGATAGCATAAAAAACGTAAAATACAGTTCTTTAATTAGATATTAGATTAGCAGCTCTTAATAAAGTTACATAAAGTTAGTCAATCAATGCTATTCTTTCTCAGTATCCCCAGAGCAATTAAGAATTCAGTGCTCTGCAAGATCCGTTTAATGATTTGGCAAGGTCTCTTTTGGATCCCTGTGCATTTTGCAGAAGTCTACATACATCACGCGAGATTCCTACTGCAGCAGGTTTCTGGGGCCTTCCAACAGAACGACTCACCAAGAGACTCATCTATTAGATGGGTACGTCCAGCAGCTTCGAGGTCAGTCTATATAAATGACATAACGTGAACGAGGTTGTTAGAACATCCATCAACTGCACGAGCAGTCTGATGGCGTGGATGTTGCAAGAAGCGTGGTTGTGAAAACTGAAAAAACTGTGGCTTTTCTTTGCATGCAGATACATCCTCAGAGGTCGCAACATGTCATTTTTCAATGACGTGCTTATTTTATCTGTCCCTCCAGCAGCTGCTGTATGTGTGTAGCAATTACTTTTCAATATTGGAGTGCTTACAGCAGAATTCATCAGTACACATTGGTCCTTTTTAAAGAAGGTTTGAAGATAAAAAGTTCTTGAAATTGATGTAAAGCCATAATTAAAAACAAACTTAAAGATTACTTTCAGAAAAATAACTTTTAACAATCTTAGTCTTGCCAGGATGTGCACTTGTGTATAGCCATTTGCTGTGACCGGATGATGGTGACTATATTTTGTAATTTTGTTTACATTAATTTACTGCCTATTATAAGAGAAACTTGGTAATTATTAAGGAAAAAATACGTAGGCTTTATGTGAAGAGCATCTTATCTGACAGTTCAGCTCCTAGGAAACCTGTGACATTCTATGGTGGTATGTACCTTAATCTGCCAGTGAGAAAGGTACTGAATGCATAATTAATTAGTATTATGTAGCCTCAGTGCCTTT